GGGGGGGGGGGGGTGTATCCAAGGATGCTGGGTTTGTTCCCTAGGATGCTGGGTTTGTTCGCAGAATTCTTGTTCTCTTGTTCTTGGGATGTCTTATCAGAGCATGGATGGAAAAACGGGTGGCACAGTGAGTGTGTGCGGAGGTGGTGTGCGTTTTATCGCACGAGTACCCGCTGGTGGAGCCTGCTCCTTGGTTGCTAGCTATTAAATGGTATCTTGAGTTGTTTGTGTGAATTATGTGTTCTCGGTCAGATATTCTCCGGTGGCGTGAATCGCTGAAGTGGTTGTCTTTTATTTCTGTTCCGTCGGTTCTTCGTTTGTTGAGGAAGTTGTTGGGTGTTGTTTGTTGACTGCGTGGGGTTGTAAAGGAGTTCGGGTGGGACGTCGTGAAGCCAGACGCGGGGTCGTTCGCGGTTGCTGAGGTAGCGGAGTGGCGGTGGTTCGACGGAGTCGGGGGGCTGGGTGCCTGCGTAGAGGTGCCGTATGAACCCGGCGTTGTTAGCGATCGGGATCTGGTGGCCGACGCAGTAGGCGACGAACTTCTGGCAGATCACTTGCAGCAAATCCTCCGCCATGTCCACAGCTCGGTCAAAATGCATCTTCGCACTAGACTGGATCGCCATGTGCAACCGGTCCTGAACCGGCGCCTCGTTTGCAGGAACGCCTTTCAAACTCACCGACACACAGTTCTCCGACCCCCGCAAGATAAAGTGGATATGAGAGTCTTCTGGACCCAAAACTGCCTGGGTCACATTGAAGCCTTCTGCGCCAAACAGATTCACAAACTCCAACCGGGCCACCCAGTAGTTAAACTCACTCGCACCACCTGCCGTCTGATGCGCCAACGAGCCTTGATACCCCGGACCCGGATGCTGCTGCCCAGGACCTGGGTGACCACTAGGACCTGGGTGACCACTAGGACCTGGGTGCGTAGGACCCTGGCGTGCAGGGCCAGAACCTGGTCCAGCGCCCAGATGATTGGGACCAGAACCCTGGGGACCAGAACCCGGTGGACCAGAACCCTGCGGACCAGAACCCTGCGGACCAGAACCATGGGGACCAGAACCCTGCGGACCGGAGCTCAGGTGCGGTAGGGGGCCCGGTATGATGTTCGGCCCCACCGCGTTCGGTCCAACCTGCCTAGGAACGATGCGGGGACCTCCCGACTGGTTTCGTCGAGACGGGTCAGCGAAGTGCGCGCTGCTACCAGGCGGGCCACTCCCCGGTGCGCCGTACTGCATCACTCCAGGCATTTGTGCGGGCATTTGTCCCGAGGCCTGAACGGCAGTAGAGATGGGACCTGCGGCAAACAAAGGACCCGCATGTTGCATGGCTGATGGCCCCTGCATAGCCGTGGCTCCTTGCATGGAGCCGACCATTTGTGCACACGCGTGTGCAGGAGGTGATCCCATCGCGTGGGATCGTCCCGGGAGATGTGGACCAGCGAGGTGGGGTTCAGCAGGATGGGGCCCAGCGAGGTGGGACCCTGGTAAGTACCGGGTGCTTTCGGCCAGTATGGCCTCGTACAGCATGCGGATCCGTTGGGTAATGTTCTCTTCGGTAACAGCATGCGCCAAGAGCACACCGATGCAAGGTACGGGCGTGTCGTGGAGCGCAAGTGCGTTGGATACCGCGTTGTCATCTGAGAAGCAGACTAGCGCCAGCGCAACCGACAGTGGCACCTCGCCGGCCAGCGGTGGTTCGGACGGGAAGACAAAGGGAGTGACCGACTTGACAGCGCCATACCGCGCGCACAACTGCAGCAAGTCGCTCTGCACAAACGAAAAGTGCGCAGTCCCTTGAGGCTTCAAACACAGTAGCAACATACGGCCACCAGTGGCCCGATTCTCACCAGCCACCGACCCTACCCCTCCATCAGTCGCCAACATTTATATTGCAAAAAATGGACCCGACCGGGCAGGTTCCCGAAGACGGCTTTCACACCGCTGCCTCCACTCCAACCGCCTCCACCAACTCCAAGGGGGCTAACTCCAAGGGGGCTAGCCCGACAGGGGCAGTAGTGCCCGAATTGCTAGAGCAGGCACTGTCCAAATTACAGGAAATACCCGCGGTGGAGCAGGCAGCCAAATTGTCGGACGAGGACCTGAAGAGCTTGATTGCTTCGCAGCTGCAGCTGGTGCCTCCGAACGTGAAAACGGCCATGAGTTACGCCATTGTGCTTCTGCGACGAGACTTAGCCGATTTCCGGCGCTGGGAACTGTTGGGCGAAGCTATCAGTCTTTTGCCCGACGACTTTCGGCTGGAGTGGGAAGACACCGCCTTCGCGTGCTTCCTCAAGAGCCTGGAACTGGGCAACAGCCCCACCGCCTGCTGGTACCTGGGCCAGGCGTGTGAGGGCGAAGAAGCGCGAGACTTCTACCTCCGAGGTAAAACAGAGCTCGAGCAGCGATGCCAGACTTATCCGGACTCCCAGGAACTGCGGACCCAGCTGGCAGACGTCTACACGGCGCTGGCGGAACTCTATATGACCGATCTCTGCTTCGAACCGGACGCTGAAGCACGGTGCATTCAGTACCTCGAAGACGGCAACCGATGCAAACCAAACCACTTCCCCCTGCTTGTCCAGCAGTGCTCTTACTACACCGTCACCATGAAGCTGGAAGAGGCCAAAGACATTGCGCAGAAGCTGTACCAATGTCTGCAGCGGTATTACCTGCTCTATAAGGACAGTCCGGAAGGCAGTCCGGAACACGATGCCGACCGGGGTAACACCAGTTCAATGGACGCGCAGTCCTTAGAGGGGTCCGTCGAGACATTGAATTTAGAGGACATGCCTGACTTTGAGGCGCAGTTGACTGTGGCGAGGATAATGACAGATATAGGGATGCACAAGCAGGCCATTGACGTCCTGCTCTTTCTGCACGAAATGAATGATGAGGACGATCGAACCTGGCATCGGCTCGCGATTGCGTACATGCTTGACAACCAAGTCGAGTTCGCACACAACTGCGTTAGCCGGGCACTGACCCTGCGGCAAAGGTGTTCAGTGAAAAACGAGGACGCACTCGCGAAAGGAGAAATGAGCATTGAAGACGAACTGAAGGCGCTCAAGAAGGAAATCGAGTCACGGAAAGAATTATCCTCATGAAGTGTTCCTGGTGGGCAACAGTATAGTGCTGCCACTATAGTGCTACATCGCTCCCAGTGCTGGCAGGTTTCCCAGTCTTGGTAGTGCTCTCAGTGCTGATAGTGATGGTTATATTCCGCAAAAGTGTCCGTCTTGTTTTTTGGTGGGATCTTTGGCGCGAAAGGAGGTTCTGGAAGAGTGGTTAATAAAGGGCTGCTGCAGGGTTGGGAGACCCTTGA